TTCACCTTAAAGAAATAAGTTACACAACTGATGTTACAATACAAAGAGTTGGACGTTGTCTTTAATAATTTTTATATATCGAGAAATACATTAAATAAAAAATAATAAATAAATGTTTATTATATGTTTAATATAGTTTTTTCAGAGAGTAACTTGAATTTTGCATGATTTAGTTCATTTGTTAGATTGTTAACATCTTGTACTATTTTTCTTTTACTTGAATTTTATATGCTTTGGTTGAGATTTTATATTGATGTTAAATCTTTTAAGCTTTTTTGTTAAAGAATTGACTCTAGAGTGCATATTTTGTGTCCATGAAAAAACTAATACAGAAAATATTACAATATTACAAAAAACTGTTCTTGTTAATTTGATGAAAACATTTTAAATATCCAGTGCACTCATGTCAGAATAACTTTTAGATTTGTTGTTAGAATAATCGATTAATCGAAAAAATAATCGTTAGATTAATCGATTAGAAAGTAATCATTTGGTACAGCACTAATCTGCCACTCCAAACTGTCACGGGGATGTTAATGAGGGCTTGAGAAGTGATTTTGCTCTTGGTCCTCTTGCTTATATAAGTGCATCAATGATGGGACTGGATAAGGCAGTTTAAGTTTATGTGTTTATAGGAAGGATGGCGATTAGCTCCAGGCTTGCGAGTCAATTAGAAGCCTTTTTTGCCATTATTTTCCCCTCCAGACGTTACTATACAACAGCTGCTCTTCTCCTCTGTCTTATCTTACTGTTTTACGATCCGCTGTCACCTTTTCCCTCTTATAAACTAAGCACAAAAAGTAAGGAAACTTGTGTTTGGTCGATAATTTCTTTGTTGTAACAATGCTTTTGGGCAATAAAATCTTAAAAATAAATAATCAACCCAAACAGTTTTTTTTTTGTATCTTTTTGTGGTATCACTTGTGCTTTTTTTCTAAATGACTTCCCTCTTCTATTATTAACCTCTCTCATTCATTCATCCATTCATCRGTCATTGCCAGTGAGATGCAGTTATTGGAGCAATTTGAAACTTGAGGCTAATACACACTTTTGTCTTTGGCTGAATCATGCCTGTGAGTCGTAGAGCAGTAGTACAGTAGAAGGGAGTTTCCCCTGAGGCACTTCCACAAATTCACACCCATCCATTCAGCCGTAACCCATTACTCATTTGGTCTAACACTGCTCAGGCTTTTAGTGAGTGGAAGAGGTCGGGATGGTAGCTGGTGTTATTTTTATCTTGCGCTTGAGTCATTAGTGCACGTTTTTGATTAGTCTCTTATCCACTTTGCTAAAACCACTGCAAAAGTCGAACTTTTATTTTGAAACTTCACCATATGTATTTATAAGAAGCAAACTGAGCGAGCCAGACACGCCTTRAAACTCAGCATTCGYCCACATCAGTAGAAGCGAGGTGTGAGTTCATCAAAGATTTTGTTGCRATGTGTGGAATCAGATATTCCTTCAGAAAAAAACAAAAAAGCTTGTTGATAAAGCGCTGGAAACAAGGAGGTGCTCTGCCAAAACAGAAGTAAAAATGAGTGTAGATCCTATTCAGTAGGCAAGAGTGCACAAATTGTTGCTGTTTGTAGCTTTTATGTTTTTTATGAGACAAGTGCGAGAGATGTGAGATTCTGTTTTACACACAATGCTTCTTATTCTAAAAAAGACAGGTAATAAATACCTTGCAAAAGCATTTAAAATTCTGCTGAACCACAGCAATTTGTTATATTAGCGAAAGTAAGTAAGCAAAAGATTTTTTATATAGTGCCTTTCACAGAAAAGGATTTCACAACGTGCTGTACATCCATTATCAGAAAGAAAAAGCAAATACATCACAATAACTGTACAAATTATACACTCAATACATTCAATATTTGAAAGAAAAACAAAAAGGAGTTGAATTTATCTCTCCCCCTTATAGGTGGAGGGGGTGGATACTAAACCAGAAAACGCAGGGCTTATAAACTCAAGTTGTGAAAGCATTAATTATTGAAGTCTGTGGCTACATATTTTGAAATTATGTTTTGATTTCTTTATAATTAAGCAGTTTTTTTAGGTTAATATATGGTTAGAATGAAAATTTGGAATTCAGAGGAAAAAAAGCAGAATATAGAAAAATAAAAATGTAATTTGGGAAAAAATAAAACTATTATCGGGCCCTATTTTTATAGACAATTTTCTGTTTGTATTTGGTTGCAATTTTACTTTTTAATGACATGCTTTTAAAGGACAATTATTTTTCCTCCATAATTTTCCCCTCCTGTTTTCAGGTTAGTGGCAGCAGAGGGGGTGGAACCTCGCTTTATGAAAGAAGAAGAAGAGGAAGTAGAAGAAGAGAGCAGTGAGGAGGAGGAAGAGGAGCTGACCCCAGAAGAACAAGGTAAACTTGTTTTATTTGGCCACACCAACATCAGCAAATTGGTTCATGCTAGTTTAAGCAAAACATTATTGTGATGCGATACATTTCTGCTAAATGAGAGGGATGAGCATCGAAGTCGATGGTAGTTTTCTTTCTAATTTTATCAGGGGCTCTTCATGTTTTGTTCTATTTATACTCAGCATCTTGATTTAAATTGTAGGGATGTCCCGATACCACTTTTTCACTTCCGATACGATACCGATATTACAACTTTGAGAAATGTCCGATAC